AGAAAGAAATAGCCAGAAATATCACCAAAGATATTTGTAAGTCCGTCTTCTGCCTGTAACTAATTGGAATACCTAAAATGGGGCTACAGTGTGTCCAGTGAAGGAGGTTTCCTGTGGCCACTATGCATTACATAAGACTACAGATGGAAGCCTGAACCACATCCAGACCTTCAGAGATGGGAAATCTTCCACTTGAAAGGACAAGCAGACCAGCCTGGAGCAGCTAGAAAACCAGAAGATATTTCTTGAAAGAAAGACCTACAGAAAAAATACAAAACAATAAGGGCAGTCTGACTGTTACAAGAATGAGCAAGTTGCTTGCCCAGGAGACATCAAGGGAGGTGGTCGGGTCCTCTCGGTGTAAATCCTCTTCCAAGGCTAAGGTGCAATGGAAACACACGCTCAGGTTGGCAACCACGCATGTCACCCATAAGGGGAAGTGACTGAAGAACATCAATGAAGTGGCCAGTTAACCCCTACATCGTCCATCAGACTACTGTGAACCTGGGTAGAGACCCAGTCGGCCAGCAGCGAGGCAGGACCTGGGACTCATGGGCTCAGAGTCAATGACACAACCTCAGAGGACTAGAGTGGAGAGCAAAGCGTCCAGCTGATAAGAAGAGGGTAGACAGACGCAAAAATACCCACACTTGCAGATGATACCCACTTGACCTGGCTTGAATGACTGGATGAACAGAGCTCAACATGAATAAGAAAGAAGAGGAAAAAGGCGTCATCTGATACAATTTGATAAAGTTGACCTACAGCCATAAATGCAGTAGCACAAAAGAAGAAACAAATCCCTGCTGCAAGAATTATTCCTACCCGCTCCACACAAAGAGTGGACAGGGATGGGCAACTTGGACATTGGCTACCCAAAACGGGGGAAGGGATACAAAGGTAAGAAGTGACTGGCTTACAAGATTTCGAGAGGGAACGTAGATCCAAAGGGCGTGGAGGAAGGTAGAGTCTCCAGTGAATTGTATCCAGCCTGTCCAGGAAGGGCTGATGAAATGAAATGCAGATGGATCTCTTATGATGCAACAGTGAAGAATTGTTATCAGGACTGATTGTGAGGGATGGAAGTGTAAAGGCAGACATTTTATAGCAAGGAGGGGAGAGTGGCTGACTTTGCAGTCCAGGAACGGAGGTCCCTGGGACCATCAAGGGAGAAGAGCTGAGAGCGGGACCCTACCCAGAGAAGCAGTGAGGCCTGAGATGGAGGCAGAGAAGATGACGTGAAGAGATGGAATGGCTGAGGACTTGAGATCCAGAAAGGGAAAGGGGCTGTATGCTGAGGACTGTTGGGGTGCTAGGGGGCAGGCTTGCAGGGTATACCCTTTGGTTGGGTGATGATGCATGGATGGTATGGTAACTATGGCAATGAAACAATGTATGATAGAATAAATGTAAAACTAATGTTCTCCCATGTAAACTATCACACAATTCACAATAAAACATTTATTAAAAAAAAACTCTACACAGAGTCGTTATATATCAGAACCAACTTGATGGCACACAACCTCCATCACCATGGTCAAACCTTTAATTAACTAGCCTCTAATGTGATGGACATATTGTCAGGAGGGACCAGTCCCTGGAGAAGGATATCATGTTTGGTAGGGTGGAGGGTCAGAGAAAAAGAAGAAGACCCCCACCCAGCGAGATGGATTGGCCAAGTGTCAGCAGCAATGGGCTCAACCGTGGCAACAATAGTGAGGTTGGCCCAGGATCGGGCAGTGTTTCGTTCTGCTGTATATAAGGTAACTATGAGTCGGTACCGACTCGATGGCACCTAACAACAACAAAAATGTGATGGCTGGAACTGCAGTTGGGCCTCATACTGCCAGTGGGCTGGATGTTCCCCAGGCATGCCTTAGGGCATTTATCACCAAGGCTGAAAAAACTTTTTAATGTTGCTGGCACAGGGCAGAAGCCAGTAAGCTGAGTGAGTGAGAGGCCAAGGACCAGAGAGAGGACTGCCTTTGGGAATTACTGGGAAGGGGCTGCCCTGACCTAAGAACTGTGTCTTGAGCATTTTTTATCCTAAATTGTGACCTGTTAATGCCCCTCATAAGCCCCATAATTCTGAGTATTGTCTGTGAGTTCTGTGTGGTTATTGCAATACATTATTGTTATTGTGGGAGGGATGGTTGGGGTCAGAACTGGTAAGGAAGGGTGGAGGGTGGTGCGTGTCTGTCAGCCTCGTAGGAGTCAGCCTCGGGCTGATGCTGAAGAGTTTGATTCTTCTTTCCTCTCCTTAAGTTAGAAGAGGTCAGAAACTGCCTCTCCACACCCAGCATTCTACTTTAGTATCCATTATTAAGGATCTCTGGTGGCACAGTGGTTATGAGTTGGGCTGCTAACCTCAAGGTCAGCAGTTCGAAACTACCAGGCGTTCTGCAGGAGAAAAGATTTACAGCTTCAGAAACCCTATGCAGGGTCCCTATGAGTCGTAACTGACTCCATGGCACACCACCACCACTATCCAATATTAAGTGGAAATGTTCAGTGTTCTTTGAGTTTGGGAAACAAAAGAATTTCATAGGGGTCATAGGAGTAAGATGGGGCTGTAGAGTTGATGGGGTGAGGTTTTCCAATGAAATTCTTGTAGGATAGTTGTTGCTACCCTACAAGAGTGAGCAGATACATTGTCATGATGGAAAGAAATGCCTTGGTGCAAACATTACTGGACTTTTTCTTCCCAAAACTCCTTCAATTTTCCTAAAACTCCTTCATCATGAACCCCTGTGTACTTTAAGAAAATCTACCAAGATTACCCCCTTGAAATCCCAATAAACAGTTTCCATAACTTTCTAAACTGACATCTTTGCCCCGCAGAACCTCTCAGAAGTCACTGTTTTTATTGAGTCTTTTTTTTGGAAGGTACTTTAGGGAAACTAAGACAGTCATGGTACTGAGACAACTTGTCTGCAGCCATACACACATTGGAGAGACATGTTTAAATGTGCTTTGTTTGGAATAAATCCATGCATGTATGAATTGGGGCAGTAGTAGCAATACTTTCTAACTTACTGTTGTAATTTTGGAATTGTGATTTCATTCATAATAAGGTACCAAAAAAGTAATATTTAAATGTGAAATGTAGGTTTGTGAATATGACTTTGCCAAATAGCTTCTTGCTCCTTTTGGTCCTAAATATATATATATTTTTTTCTTTAGCTTCAGATGGAAAGATCTATGATGCATACATATTATATCCAAAGACCCTTGGAGAAGGTGCTACCTCTAACTCAGATATTTTTGTGTTTAAAATCTTGCCTGAGGTCTTGGAAAACCAGTGTGGATATAATTTGTTCATTTTTGGAAGGAATGACTATGTTGGGGAAGGTATGTATAGAGTGAAAAAATGAGGTTTATTGTTGTGAAAATAATTTAATGACTAAAGTTGGGTTCCATTTTTCTAGAAAACGCTGGCATAAGTGCACATATTTATTGGCTTTAAGAACCTTCTTGGTGTGTACTGGTATTTTTACATTTTTAAACTGAAAAATATTCATTTGCATCATTGTTGTTGTTAAGTGCCATCGAGTCGGTTCCGACCCATAGCGACCCTGTACAGGGTTTCCGAGGGTGTAAATCTTTATGGGAGTAGAAAGCCTCATCTTTCATCATTATTGGGATAATAATTAATTAATGTATCTGCCATTTTGAAAAGCTTAACGACTCGTTGGACGAAATAGTTCTTGTGTAACTAATAAAATAGTTTGTTGTTATTAGTGGATATCAAGTTGATGCCAACTCATGACGGCCACAGCACGTAGAGTAGAATGCTCCAGTTTTTCCAAACTATGACTTTTCAGAAGCAGATTGCCAGGACCGTCTACAAGGCACTCTGGATGGGCTCGAACCACTAACCCTTCAGGTAGTAATTAAGCACTTAACTGTTTGCACCATCCAGAGATGCCAATAATATAAAATAGGTGTTGTGTGAAAAATTAATTAGCAAGGTTTTTACATTTGTGCTGAATATTCTTCCTAGTCCTCAATGAAATGTTCAGATTCTGTGGATGAACTTTTGAGTTGATCTTTAAAACAGAAAACTCCTTAAATGTTAAATATTGTTGTTGTTAAGTGCTGTCGAGTCAATTCCAACCCATAGCAACCCTGTATAGGGTTTCCGAGGAGCAGTTGGTGAGCTTCAACTGCTGGCCTTGTTAAGTAATGTTAAGTATAAGTGCAGAAAAAGGACCATTTGGAGACATGAGGGGCGGGGAAGGACCACGTGAGATCTTGGTATTATAAAGAATGATTAAAGATTGAATTGTACTTAATGTGTTGTGCTTTATGTTTTCAGACATTGTTGAGGTCATGGATGCAAACATAAAGAAAAGCAGAAGACTGATTATTATTTTAGTCAAAGATGCATTAGGATTCAGCTGGCTGGGCAGTACATCTGAAGAGCAGATAGCTATGTATAGTGCGCTCATTCAAGATGGAATTAAAGTTATCCTGCTCGAGCTGGAGAAAATCCAAGACTGTGAGAAAATGTCAGAATCAATTAAATTTATTAAACAGAAGCACAGGGCCATACGATGGTCAGGGGACTTTACAGAGAAGCCACAGTCTGCAAAGACAAAGTTCTGGAAAAACGTAAGGTACCATATGCCAGCTCAGCGGAAAATGCCTTCATCCACATACAACTCACTGTCTGTAGTCACGAGTCCAGACTCTATGGAAAACTGCCTGAGAGAAGTTCATATGCCTCTTGGGTAACATGGAAAAACTTAGGCAAAGAGTTCTTTCACAGACTCATGTCAAGGTGTTCCATGAATCGTCCTTTACCCCTGAGGTCGCCTGGAATTAGATGGTTCACAGAGCAGGATGTGGTGACAATGGCGGACAGGATGAAGTAGAGTTGAGAGCTTGGAAAGGTCTATAAAAAGACAAGAAGTGATGTGGCCCTTCTCTTAAAGTTTGAACTGCTGAGGAAAATCCCTGGAACAGAAAAGAGCTTGCAACAAAAATGCCATCATCCGAGAGAAGATTTTATGAAGTTGTTTATCTCCCGAGGGACTGAATGGGGACCTTTTTGGGAACTCAGCAGTGTGCCTGCACTGGCCAGCACTGCAGACTTACATGAATGACACCTCACAGAGGAAGTCAGAAATATTCTTGGTGAATTTTATACTTGCCTTGCGTTTTTCATACACACTATACAGCCAGTAGTCAGTTTCCAAATAATGTCATTTCTGTGGACAGCAGGATGCTTCAGGATTCCAAGATTTTAAAATAACCTTAGATTTCTGAAGGAGAGAGTATTTTTTAAAGCTCTTTATATTTCCTTCCTGGATTGAACATCTGCTTTTCTTTATTCACCTGCACTTTACTTGACTTGTTGCTTCTTTGAAGGACAGCTGCTGGTGGTGGTGGTGTGCCATGGAGTCGGTTCCAACTCATAGCAACCTGTATGGGATTTCTGAGGCTGTAAATCTTTATAGGAGGAGAAAGCCTCATCTTTCTCCCATGAAGCGGCTGGTAGTTTTGAACTGCTGACCTTGAGGTTAGCAGTCTGACTCGTAACCAGTACGCTACCAAAACTCCTTGAAAGGACAACTGCTGAGTTCTAATTCCCTCTCTCCCCTCCGTCATATGCACAGCCACAACCTACAGACTAACCACTAACCACCTCCATAAAACTCTTTTTATCTCATCTTACTTAAAAAAAAAAATTAAAAAAAAATCTTAATAATCTTAATAAATCTCCTGAGGGCTTCTTTTTTTAATGAGATCCCAGCATTTCAACCCTACAGCCCTGCACTCTTGCAGTCTGGCTTCTGTGCGTCCGTACACCTTCCCCTTCACTGTCAGACTCAGGTCCCTTGGAGCCTGGCATGCTCTCATGCAATTTTTCACCCAGTTTTCTCTGCATAGAACAAATGCCTTCACCCATTTTCCCCAGCTGACCAGAATTTTACAGAATCTCAAAATTTAGTCCAAAGGCACTATTCCCCAAGAAACTTTGTCAGCATGCCTGCCCTGAAATGCTCTTTCCTCTCAATCTGATTATACTTCCTGTTTGCTATCACTTCCTGAGAAAGATGTTCTTTTTCCAGTTAGAAGTTACGCCCTCTGAGGCAAGACCCTATGTGTGTCTCTTGCCCCTAGGTGCCTTCCACAAGTAATTTGCACATACAATATTTGTATATTTACATTGTACTTTATTGTTTATATGATGTTCTCAGATTATCTTAATTTTTGCAATGATTTTCAGAAAGAGCATAAATGACCTTTTATATATATATATATAAAAGGTCACTTATGCTATATATATATATATATATATATATATATTTTCATTCATTCAGTACTATTGGACCATGGGTTTAAACTTCAATTTCTGGTCCTTAGTCCAGTGCTTTGGTCAGATTAATAAATGCCCACCATCCTGGATGGGCACTTCTGTGAGAAAAAACAAAACATATTTATCTTAGGTGGTGGCTAAGTCTAGGAATACTTGTATTTAAGAAACCTAATTCCAAATTTTTTATGTTGGGATTTTCAAAGATCACATTTAGAATTTTATGAAACCTGTTTTTTATTTTTATACATTGTTTCCCAAAAGCTGGTAGTGTGGCCATTGTTAAGTGCCATTGAGTTGGTTCTGACTCATAGTGACCCTGTATAGGGTTTCTGAGGCTGTAAACCTTTGCCAGAGCAGAAAACTTCCACTTTCTCCTGATGAGTGGCTGGTGGGCTCAAACCGCCGACTTTGTGGTTCACGGTCCAGTGCTTATCTTACAGAGCCACCATGCTCTGTAGAGGTAAATGCCTCTTATTAAAATTAGAATGATTTTAAAAATTTGGGTGAAGGTGAGTAAGAGTATATAAAAAAGTACGTTTTTTAATGGAATGGCAGCCCTCTAGATAGCTAGAGACTCTGGTGAACTACATAACTAGGTGTCTGTGTCAGTTACTGAAACACATATGCGCAGGTTTTTATAAAAACTGTTACGCGTTTAAGCTGTCTGAACAAGGTCAGACTTTCTGTTTTGTGTATTTTTGACAGCTAATAAGGACCCTTAACACAGTGGCTCCAACAATGGCCTCACACATAGCAAACAATTGTGAGGGTGACACAGAACTGGGCAATGTTGCATTCTGTTATACAGTAGGGCACCGTGAGTCCAAACTGACTGGATGGCACCTCATAAGGACAACAATAAGTATCTAATATTACAGGGGAACACAACGTTTTATTCAGAAGAATTTTTTTTTTCCCCTCATAAAAGGTCAGAGGTAGACAAACAGAATTTAGCACACTGAGTGTTTCCATCTTCTTTTCTTGGGTCCTGTTTGACAGCATTGAGTTGGTGTTGTGTTTGAGAGAACTTTTTCAACAAAAATGGCCTTTCTCTTTGGCAGCATCCACAAATGGCACCCTAAAGTGTCATGTTCCAAAAACTGGCTGTGAAGTGCTTAAAAATTATATTCTTTGCTGATGATTCTTAGGGTGTCATCTATAAAGGAGAATGGTGGTGGTGGTGGTTATGTGCCATGGAGTTGGTTCCAACACATAGCAACCATGTATAGCGTTTCCAAGGCTGTAAATCTTTTCTCCCATGCAATGGCTGTTAGTTTTGAACTGCTGACCGTGAGGTTAGCAGCCTGACTCATAATCACTACTCTACCAGAACTCCTAATATAGGAGATTAGCATCAGTAATACCAAGAAAGCCAATTCTGCAATTTAGAATTAGAGGCAAAATTGGCCAGCAACCACGAATTGCAATTAGCATTTCATCTGGAATTTGTTGTTGTTCTTAAGCACTGTCGAGTTGTTTCCAACCCACAGCGATCTTGTGTGGGGTTTCTGAGGAGCAGTTAGTGAGCTTGAACCACCGACTTTGTAGTTCAAAGTGACTTTTCAGTCCAGCACTTTAACCCACAGCGCCACATCAGGACTCCTATCTGGAATTTAGGGAGGGACAAAACCCAACTTGATCAGCGTGGGTGGAGGCTTCCAAACAGGAAAGTGAACTGGCTCTCCTACCTCAGGATAGGGAGGATACCGGAGGAAAAGACTACATTCCTAATTTCATGTGAACTGTGTTTGAGTTTTTGTTTTTCATTTCACCTCTCCCCATTAATGAGGTGTTGCTATACTTTCTGATAATTTGTTTGAAGTTAATTTTAAGGGTTTCCCATTGCAGCAAATTATTTAATTTCCAGTAATTAAAACTGGTTTAGCATAACTGCTACTTTCTCTCCTGCCTTTATTTTATTTTATATTTTCATTAAAGAGAAGGTATTGAACCACTCATAATGACATTTTAGATAAATTATGTTTGCACTGGTTAATGATGAATGTTTTTGTTTTTAACTTGTTTGTATAATTGTGCAGCAAATGCCAGATATTTTTCTATGGTGAAATACCAAATTCATGTACAGCATATATCATTGATCAATGCACTGTATTTGTTTTCCAATAAAATTGCTGAAACCTACTATTGAGTTGTTATTGAGTAATGTCATTTAAATGACTGTTTCTTTGTCTGCTTTTCTTCATTGCTTCCTTGCACATTCCCAGGCCTGCACCAGTATGAGGACAGGTTTCTACCAAGAGAATTTCTGTGAGGAGTCCAGTACTAAATACTGAGTTCAAACCATCACCTAGAGCTCCCACTGTGTACCCTCAACTGTACTCTTGTTAGTTTGCTTACTTCTAAAATGGATTTGGGAGTTCTGCTGTGACACTGTAGGATAAACACTGGGCTGCTAATCGCAAAGTCAGTAGTTCAAACTCATACACCAGATATCCTTTACAGGATCACTGAGTCAGAACTGACTCGATGTCATTTGACAACAACAAGATGGATTCAAATATCTTCTCATTATCCTTTTGCATATCCAAAAACTGATGAGGGCAATATTTGTAAAGTGTGACATTTCACAGGCAGTTTCCATTTATTTTCTCCTTTGACCCAGGAAGTGAATGAAATTGGCAAACTGGGTAACTAAAATGCATGCTCTTTCAAAGTTTACATCTCTACTTATTATCAGAGAGTCCTTTAGGGCGCACACAGTCAGTGTCTCTGTGTTTTAAATTGTACCATTTCCAACAAGTGGGAGCTCTGTCAGGAACTAGGGAGAAAGAGGGAGATGGGGGCTGGTTTAGAGTCTGTGAGAGGTCCATCTAGTTCTTATCATCTCCCTACACGCTACTGAAACAAACAGCCTACCCCAGCTTTCTCATCTATGTTGTTAAGTGCCGTCGAGTTGGTTCCAACCCATAGCGACCTTGTATAGGGTTTCTGAGGAGCAGCTGGTGAACTTGAACTGCTGACTTTGCAGTTCAAACAGCTTTGCAGTATGACGCATTAACCCACAGTGCCAAAGCAGGACTCCTCCTCATCTATTGTTGTTGTTAGGTGCTATCCAGTTGGTACCGACTCATAGCAACCTTATGCACAGCAGAATAAAACACTGCCCGATCCTGGGCCAAACTCACTATTGTTGCCACGCTTGAGTCCATTGATGCTGCCACTTGGCCAATCTATCTCATTGGGGGTCTGCCTCTTTTTCTCTGACCCTTCACCTAACCAAACATGATAACCTTCTCTAGTGACTGGTCCCTCCTGACAATATGTCTGAAGTATGAGAGATGAAGTTTGGCCATCCTGGCCCCCAAGGAGCACTCTGGCTGCACTTCTTGCAACACAGGTCTGTTGGTTCTTTTGGCAGCCCCTGGCACTTTCAATATTATATAGAAT